TGTGCCTTTGCACAAAAAAGGTTGAAAAACACTGGTGTAGAGTACCTATGGTGGGAAACAGGTGGTCGTTAGGACCTGGAGGGATCCCAAGGAAGCATTTTGCCTGGCTGGTAAGGCTGTGTTAGGGAGACCTGGAAATGAAAGTAAAAAAGGCGAAGAGGCACATGGAGGGAACAGCAGGGGCAGCAGCAGAAGCTGCTCTAGGATCAGAATTCTCCCTTCTGCAATGAAGTAATAGTGACTAATTATTTATAACAATATCTCTAGTACTATCCTACCATTAATCAAGGCAAGTAACCATAGTGAAAATTTCCAAGCAGAAGGGGTGAGTAGGTTACATTTTTTTTGTCTGATAAGAGGGAAAAAAGGTGGAGGGAGAAAGACCTGAGAAATCCCCCCCAGCCCCCTCCCAGCAACATTATATAGATTCACAGAACACAGTGACAAACATCGTAATTGCAGATGCAGCCAAATTCTCCCCAATCAAGAAGTCTCGGGTCTTTCTTTATTAAAAACACGGCTGGGAGTAAATGGGTAAAGGCGATTTCCCCCGAACGAGATGGGGTATCGGAGGGCTGGCAGGAGTTGGGAGTGAATGGCGGACCCAGTGCCCTTTTGGAACGATCAGGACTTCCTACTATTTCTCTCCGATGGGGCCAGGGGATCGTAAGCTGCCTTGCCGGGTTCTTGTTGTGGTTTTACTAAAAACATTCATTATATGCAATTTCAGTGAAAGAAAAACTGCCGACGCCTATGAGTGGGTCCTGCTTAAACATAGCTTTTAGTTCTGCTGGATCTGGCATTTTGTAGCCTGACTTATCAAAGTTACCAGTGTAACAGCATGGAAATGTTTCCCTGTGTAGTGTATACATCTTTTTGTGTATGTCACAAACATCTTTCTGCGCCGTGGGGCTGTTTTAGCTTGGAAATAACCGTGACAGCTTGCTATGAGTTTGGGAGAGAGTGCCTGTAATAATACTTCGGGGGGTTTCCGTTTACTTCCGCCATAGAGATATAGCTAAAGCCGGATCGCTTTACTAAGCGAGGCCGCGGCTTGGAGGCCTTGGATTAATAGGGGTAGGACGGTTTTATTCCAGTGGAATTTGAACTAAAAACCGTGTCGTTTAATGAGGGAAAAGTAAGGACAACGGTTTGAAGAAGCAAAGTAACATAAAATGAAAAACAATTACTGTGAATAAGTGCATATTGTGCTATAATCTGAATACCAAAGGCTTTTTAAATATTTCTTAATATAACAAACTACCATTCATGCATAAATGTCGCGTGCCTGTTGCATTAATTTAATAGGTTAAGCAAGTTATGTTACTAGCATGGAGAATGCATAGTAGGAGAATGGCAAATGTGTTTAAATTGCTACTGAGAATGCAGCATTTTATTCTGCATGATTAGGGAAAGTAAGTGAATGCCAGGAACAAGTAAATTAGGCATTATAACTTTCAGGTTGGTGGATATACTGTAGTAGTGTATGGCTAGTGTTTGTTTAAGCCTTTGGGATATTTCTACATTATTCTGTTTATAATCTGTTTTTTGCTCATTTTAAGTAAACTTCGCCTAAATTGTGAAAGTTCGGCATATTTTGTCAAAAATGTTTGAATAAAGTTATTACACTACTTTACACTACTTTTCAAAGTGCTAACCATTTGTATGATCCTTAATATCATATTGCAGGGGTAGGTGATTTGTGACTTGAAAATCATATGTGGCTTAGCATTGTTATTAGGAGTTTGGTAATCTCCAAATTTGGAAAAAAAATGCCTCTAATCTTTCTAATGTGCAGTTAAGATTCTTAGAATGGCAAAATTGGGAATTAGGCAACAAGTAATCATACATACATACAGTTTTCAGGATTTTAAACCTGATTTCTCCTCATCTCTGCCTCCATGTGATGTGGGTACATCACATAGGTAAATAGGCATTTGGTCGAAAAGTCTTATATTAAAGCTGCAAACAAGCCTTCAGGAAAGGTGGAAAAGCGTATGGGGTGTAGTAAAGGCAATTATTATATTTTGCATTTAATTTAAGCAGTTAATAACAGTTTTAAGCTGAATACAGGTAAGGATATTATGACAAAATTAGAACATTCCTAGATAATAGTTAAAATATTCAGGTGAACAGGAAGGGATGGTACAAATGTGTAGTTTGGTTCTGAGCTTTGAATTAGATGCTATATAAGGATCCCAAACACACTTAAGACTGAGCAATTGAAACTTTCAGAATTTATAGTGCAGCTAAGGGTAATTAAGAATAGATTTTCTTGTTTGTAATTTGAAGTATCAGAACCTCAGCTGGTAGTTCTGTACTACATTTTGATTTTTCTTCTGAAAAATGTTCATTTCCCCCCCCCTCTTATTTTTCTGTGGAGCCATAAAACTTTACTTTTATTTACTTTGTAAACATCTTACACATCCACACAAATATTTTATACGGTATGTAGAAAGGTACCATTCTGAGTAGGATTTTAAATATTTTTTTAAAACAACATTGACAATATTTTTCAAGTACATGTTTTTAATTAATGGACTGTATCATTAAAGACCAGTTTGGGTGCAGCAAAGATAAAACCTTTTAAAAATTTCAGCAATAGACTCTATGGGTAGTCCTCAACTTAAGACCGCAATTGAGCCCAAAATTTCCCTTGCTAAGCAAGATGCTTATTAAGTGAGTTTTGCCCTATTTCACAATCTTTCTTGCCACAGTTACTAAGAGTATAACTGCAGTTGTTAGGTTAGTAACATGGTTATTAAATGAATCTGGTATTGAAGGTTGTAAAAGGTTATCACATGAACTCAGGACTCTTCAACCATCATAAATACTGTACATGCCCAGATGCCAACTGTCTATTTTTTTTTATATGACCCGGGGATGCTGCAACAGTTGTAAGTGTAAATACCTGTCATAAGTCATTAAAAGAATTTGTAAGTTGAGAACTAGCTGTAAACTTGTACAATGCAAAGTTCTGTTGATTGCTATCAATGTAGAAGGGTAACCCAAGCCTCTGTGCTCTTCAACATCTTCATCAATGATTTGGATGAGGGGATAGATGGGGAAGTCATCAAATTTGCAGACCAAGTTGGCAGGAATAGCCAATACTCCAGAAGATAGGCTCAAGATCTAGAATGATCTGAAAAGACTTGTATATTGGGCCTTATCCAATGTATATTGGGCCTTATCCTTATGAAATTCAATGGTGAGAAAACGTAAGATTTTACATTTAGACAAGAAAAACCAAATGCACAGGTATAGTATAGATGGTACCTGGCTCAATAATGAGAGGGATCTTGGAGTCCTAGTGGACAATCACTTACCGTATTTGGCGCTCCATAAGACGCACGTGACCATAAGACACACTCCTGTTTTTCACCTCCGCATGCCATGTTTTTTGCTTCCACGCATCCTGTTTTTGACCTCTGTGCACCCTGTTTTTGGCCTCTGTAAAAGTCTGGCGCAATGCCCAAAAACAGGATGTGCGGAGGCCGAAAATGGGACACATGGAGGTCGAAAACCGGAAGCACAGAGGCCAAAAACGGGTCTTACAGAGGCCAAAAAAGGGGACGCCCAGAGGCCAAAAATGGCCAAAGGGTGGGGGCCTGTGGGTGGGCAGGGTTTGGCAACATTTGCTCCATAAGACATACAGACATTTCCACCCATTTTTGGGTTACAAAAAATGTGTCCTATGGAGCAAAAAACACGGTAAATATGAGCCAGCAGTGTGCTGCAGCTGCCAAAAAAGCCAACATAGTTCTAGCCTGCATTTACACAGGGATTAGAATCAAGATCATGTGAAGTGTTAATACCACTTTATAATGCCTTGGCAAGGTCACATTTGGAATACTGCATCCAGGTTTGGTCTCCACGATGTAGAAAAGATGTTGAGTCTCTAGAAAGAGTGCAGAGAAGAGCAAGAAAGATGATTAGGGGACTGGAGGGTAAAACAAAGAATGGTTGCTAGAATTGGGTATGTCTAGTTTAATTAAAAGAAGGACTGGGGGTGACATAATAGCTGTGTTCCAATATCTCAGGTGTTTTCACAAAGAAGGAGTCGAGCTATTCTCCAAAGCACCTGAGGGCAGGACAAGATGCAATGGATGGAAGCTAATAAAGGAGAAAAATAACCTAGAACTAAGAAGAAATTTCCTGACAATCAGAAAAATTAATCAATGGAACAACTTGCCTTCAGAAATTGGGAGTTTTTAAGAAGAGATTGGACAACCATTTGTCTGAAATAGTATAGGGTTTCCTGCCTAAACCGGGGATTGGAGTAGAAGATCTCCAAGATGTCTTCCAACTCTGTTCTGTTCTGTTCTATTTGCGACCTTCTGGCAACAAAGTCAATGGAGAAACCAGATTTACTTAACATCCATGTTACTAACTTAACAATTGCAGTGATTCACTTAACAACTGTGGCATAAAGCCCATTAAATGGGACAAAATTCTCTTAATAAACTGTCTTGTTTAGCAACAGAAATTTGGGACACAATTGTGGTCATAAGTGGAGGAACTACCTGTAGTCTACTCACCTGTAGATTTTATAGTTCCTTAATCATCATTATAATTATTTAAAAATTTATCCTATATGTAATTTTCTCTTAAAGTCATATAGAGTCTTTAGAATAATTCCAAAGATTTCCAAGGTTTTGAGAAAGGTTAAAAGATATTGAATTTTTTTCTTCCTATTCCTTTGCTCTCCTTAGAAATGTTGTATATACTTTCGAGAAGCATAATGAAGTAAGCATAATGAAATAAGCTTTCACTTTTTCTGTATTTTTAGGAAGGGAAGTTGTTGGAATTTATTTACTCATATTTGCAGATTATATATTGCTAAGTGCTCACATTTTTAATTTATTTGAGGATGGAAAGAAAATACTAAATACTAACATATTTGGGAAAGAAACATAATAGTGCTATACCTATGTTAAAATTTGAACTGAATAGATTTGTACGACTGTAAAAAATTAAAATATTCTTTTTTACTATTGCAGTGATGCAATGGAAAGACAAAAAAGAAAAGAAGAGATAGAGAAAGGTCTTCAGTTCATCCAGTAAGTAACCATATTTGGTAGTGGTGGTGTTTCTGTTTTCATATATTTGTAATATAAAATTCTGCTTTGCTCAATATATCACCAAACATCCAAACAAGAATCAAATCACAATTCTATTATGTTGCATTAGTGTAAAAATATGGCAGTGCTCAAGAAGTTACTTGTTGGAATTATGTCACCTAATTTAAACATATTACCCTCATGTGGCGTTTGGAACCTAGAAATATTAGACTTCCATCAATGTATTTCAGTTAACATACTTGTAAAGGAAAACCTCTGAGACCAAGGAAGAATATAATTTCTTAGATTTCTATTTATCTTTTCCTTTTGTTAATTCAGTCTGTAAATTTGAGGTGATGTTCTTCACCTGATTTATTCTATTGATTGGCTATATAGGAATATTATAAATCGAGATGTTGAGGCTTATATTCAGTTTTTATTGACTTCAGCTTTACATGATTGTAATTTTCCAATACAGAGGAATTGAACTTTGTTGTACTTATAAACCTTTCTACATATGTCGACCATAGATATTAGCCACAAATTTTCCTTCTTCCATGTGTAGAGTTTACTAAAAAAAAATTTGCTCAAAGTTTTTGACAAACACCGATGTATCAGTCAGCCTATAGTGTTGCTACCTAATAATACTGTCCTTCTGGAAAACTGCAGTATCTATTTTACTGTGGAAATTTCCTATCCATGATTAAATTATACATGTAATATATATGTCTTTATGCGTGTTAGATCAATGTACACATTTCATGACTGTTTTATTCTTTCATAACGGTTTCATTCATTCTTCATTCTAGGTCTACATTACCATTAAGCCAAGAAGATTATGAGGTAATTTTAAGATTTCACATACTTATTTTAAGGTATCTAATGATATTATGTATATACATCTTAACCTGTTGTCATAGGTAATGTTGGGGAACAGAAGAATAGTATTAATGGTTTTCTAGAGTGGTTAGGTAAACATAGTTTTATGTGGAAAAATGAGCAATCATTCTCAGCTCTGTGTAAAGCTACAGCAGAATTTCACTAAGGAAAGTTGTATTTATTTATATAGCATAACATTTTTACTGCTTTTGATTATCATAAAAATAATCTCCAAACAGACCTTGCACTTTATTCTTACAGAAGGCCATGTTTGTATATTTTATTTATTATAAATATTTTACTCAGGTTTACTCATTATTACAACATCTACAGAACTGACAATGAACTAAAATATTCTGTTACCGTATTTTCACGACCAAAAGCCGCACCGGATTAAAAG